TGCTATCATGTGCTGACAGCTCAGAACCTGGAGCCTGCTTCGGGTTCTGTGTCTCCCTCTCTACATGCCCCTCCCCCACTCATGCTCTGCCTCTCTTTCAAAAATAAAAAACAAAAGGGGTGCCTGGGTGGCTCAGTTGGTTGAGCATCTGACTCTGGCTCAGGTCATGATCTCACAGTTCGTAGGTTCGAGCCCCGTGTCAGACTCGGTGCTGACAGTTAGGTCAGAGCCTGGAGCTTGTCTTCAGATTCTGTATCTCCCTCTCTCTCTGACCCTCCCCTGCTCATGCTGTCTCTCTCTCTCTCAAAAAAAAAAATCATAAAACATTTAAAAATAAATAAATAAAAATTAAAATTGAAAAATAAATATAAATTTAAAATAAAAATAAAGTCACGTCACTCCGCTGGTCAAGAACTTCACTTCACTCAAAACCTTCGCCAAAGTCCTTTCAAAAGGTGAAACACCTTACACTATCTGACTTCCCAATACCCAATTTCCTACCAGTCCTTCCTCTTTCTCATTCTGCTCAGCCTCTCTGGCCTCCTCACTGGTTTTGAAATGGACCAGTCATGTCCCCGTCTTCACTGCTGTTTCCTTTCCCCAGTATCCACAGGCCTCTCTCTTCCTTTGGATCCCTACTTGCCACCTTTTCAGTGAAACTGTCCCTGGTTCTCCTACTTATAATTGCAAGTCCCTCTGCCAGGCCTCCCAAAGCATCATCCCTGCTTCATTTTCCTCTGTGAATATTACCTAACCTACCATCTGTTTCCCTTACTATCTTTCTGTGCCCATGAGAATATGAACTCTGTGAGGGCTGGAATTTTAGTTGGCTCCAGGCATGACATAAGCGCTCAATACGTATTTAAATGGGAGAATGGACGGGGGTGGGGGGAGCTTGGTGGCTCAGTTGGTTAAGTGTCTGACTTCAGCTCTGGTCATGATCTCGCTGTCCATGAGTTCGAGCCCCACATCAGGCTCTGTGCTGACAGCTCAAAGCCTGAAGCCTGTTTCGGATTCTGTGTCTCCCTCTCTTTCTATCCCTCCCCTGCTTGTGCTCTGTGTCTCTCTCTCTCAAAAACAAATAAACATTAAACAAAATTTTTTAATAAAGTAAAATAAATGGAAGTATGGGACTAATGTGACCTCAGCCTGCTGATATTTGGATCCTGGGTCTTTTGACAGCAGCTACAGAGCAGAATGGTTTTGTTCTGCAGTTCATTTGCTTGATAAAGTACATGCAAAGGACCATGCAGGGCATGCTGGAATATGATGGTGATCAGAGCAGGAAAGGACTCTGCTCGAGCAGCTAACATTCTAGCTGGGAAGACAGTACACATTCACTGAAATGCTACTATTATGTCAGGTGCTTAGGTTTAAAGAAAGATATACTCCTTAACCATACGGGGCTCACACTGGACAGAGAAAGATGACCAATATAACTAGCACCAAAGGCACTGGGATAAAGGAGTAATGGAAACAAGAGATATTGCAAAGGTTGAAATAACAGGACTAGATAAATAATTACATGTGAGGATGAAAAGGAGAAATCAAATATGAGTCTGGAGTTGAAGTTTAAAGAAAACAGGTAAATTATGGCATTTTAATCCAGCTCGCAGCTGCTGGTCTTGACTCTTAGCACTGAGGTTGTCAAATGGTCTGGGTCTAAGTTCGGGCTCAGCCACTTTGTAGCTGTGTTAACACCACAAGAAAGACCAATCTCTGAATGAGTGTGTTCTTTCTGCTGTTAAGTGAAGACAGTACTTCTCACTTACAGAGTTGAAAGAATTAAGTCTTTCTCTCTCACACACAGGCCTACCTATTTGAATAAAGGTCATAGTCTAGTGCATGGTACACAGAAAATCCTCAGCCAACTACTGTCACTGCTGTCATTCACCCATCCTAGCACCAACCCAGGAATACAGGCACCCATTCGTTTAACAAAGACACATGCAGGGTCTCACTATGTCTTGGATACTATAGCAAACCCTGGAGATACAGGACCAAATAAGATGGTCAAGATACTCGTTCTTACGGTGCCTACATTCTAGCGGGTCAACAAGTCTACAAATAAGGTGACCTCTGATTACAAAATGGGCAATGAAGAAAATAAGATGAACATGATAGATTCTCATTCACCATCCAGAACATAAGTCCTCTGAGACAGAACACAGGGGCGAGGGGTGGGAGAGGCAGCATTAATTAGCTTGTCATGGACAGTCTCTAAGGCCTGCATGAAATTAAATCAGCCCTGCAAAGATCTGGGATGGGAAGAGAACAGAGGGAGACGCAAGTGCAAAGGCCCTGACTTCCGCATGGTTATAACTCCTTAGCATTCTTATCTGTAACACGGGGCTAACAATATCTAACTTACAAAGTTGCTGAGCAAATTAAATATCAATATTTATGGACAGGCTACTATATGCCAGGCCCTGTCCCAGGTACCAGGATATCGCAACAAAAGCCATCAGCATCACTGGCATATAATAAGCATTTAATAAATGCAAACCATTATAGTAACTGGAATTATTTCTTCCCTGTACCTAGCACAGCCCTGAAGTAGTGTAAGCCTAAGTGATTTACTGACTACATGAACCAATACGAGAGGCCAGGGAGAGAATACACTAAACAGAGTCACTGGGAAATGCCCCCAACCTTAGGGAAAAAACATTTCTGGGGGAAGCCAGTCATGGGTGAAGGGCCTCAATGGGCATTGTCAACACCATGGTATGACGAATAAGTAAGATCAGGAAAGCAGGCCTTTGGGAAGAGAGCTGGCATTGCCATAAAACAACAAGAAACCAAACTTCTACTCACCTGGAGCTCTGATGTCAAGAGACCAGGGGTTACTCCTTTCTCTTCTATGCAGATCTCTCTGAGAAAAGGCAGAGTCCCAAGAAGGCACGGAAGTGAAATAAAAACAAGCCAGGAGATAACATGATTCCATCACAATTCCTGGCTACACAACAGGGAAAAATCTCTGAGCACCAGTTGCATGTAATCTACTCCTATCCCTGGGAAAGGGACCTCCCTCCCTGCAAGGCTCAGAGCGCCCATGCCATTCTTACTGTGGGCCTTGTCTACAAGCCTGCATGCACTGTAGCTTCTAGGAGACAATCAGATGGCCAACAGACACAGGAAACGATGCTCAACATCACTAATCATCAGGAAAATGCAAATCAAAATGGCAACGAGAGATCACCTTACCCTTGTCACAACGGTAGAATAAAAAAGATAAGAAATAATAAATGTTGGTGGAGACGTGAAGAAAAAGGAACCTTGGCACTCTGTTCGTGGGGATGCAGACTGGTTTGGCCACAGTGAAAACAGTATGGCAGTTCCTCAAAAAATTAAAATTAGAAATGCCATACGATCCAGCAATTCTACTACTGGGCATTTACTCAAATAAAACAAAAGAACCAATTTGAAAAGATCTATGCACCCCTGTGTTTACTATAGCATCATTTACAACAGCCAATTATGGAAGCAACCCAAGTGTCCATCAATAGATGAAAGGATAAAGAAGATGTGGTATGTGTATATACAATGGAGTATTACTCAGTCATAAAAAAAAAAAGGATAGTATCTTGCCATTTGCAACAACATGGGTGGACCCAGAGAGTATTATGCTAAGTGAAATGAATCAGTCAGGGAAAGACAAATACCATATAATTTACCTCATATATGGAATGAAAGCAGGGAAAAATGAACAAAGAGAAAAGGAGACCAAACACAAAAAACAAACGTGGTTGCCAGAGAGGAGGTGGGTGAGATAAGAGTTCTCTTATTTTTTTAAGTGTTTATTTATTTTGAGAGAGAGTGCACGAGAGAAGGGGCAGAGAAAGAGCGACAGAGAGAGATAGAGAATCCCAGGCAGGCTCCATGCTTTCAGTGCAGAGCTTGATGCAGGGCCCCAACCCACAAACCGTGAGATCATGACCTGAGCCAAAACCAAGAGTAAGACACTTGGCCCACTGAGTCACCAAGGCGCCCCAAGACTACACTTATTTTGGTGAGCACTGGGCAATGTACAAATATTACTGAATCATTACATTATCTACCTGAAACCAATACAGCACTATATGTTAAAAAATATTTGTAAATGCCTAAAGATATACCATGTTCATGCAATTAAAGACTTAAGGTTGCCTGTTCTCTCCAACGCAATTTCAACCAAAATCTCAACAGACTTTTTGCAAGATTTGACACCGATTCTAAAATATACACTGTAATAAAGAAAATCTAGAATAGCCAAAACAATCCTACCAAAAAAGGAAAAACTTGGACTCATTCTTTCTGACTTCAAGATTTATTCTAAAGCTACAGTAATCAAGAAGTAGCGGTACTGACTTAACAGTGAACAAATAGATTACAGGAGTCTTTTCAACGTACGGAGTTGGAATAACCGGAGAGTCTTATGTACCCCTCCTTAAATCATACACAAAAAATAATGCAATATGGGTGAAAAGTCTACTATTAAAAAAAAGGTCTGAATTAAGAGCTGTGACTTTCATATGCTGTGTGACAGAATACAATTCAACCCATGAGGCTCGGACGCTGGAAAAAACAGCTAGCATCACTACAAAATGATTTCTTAAAACTTGTACGGCTCTTAATAATTCTCAAAGGAAAACATACAGAACACGAAGAATCAACTTCTGCTGCTCTTTATAGAAATAACTTCACATAAAAGTCTGAAATTCATACAGAAGTAGATGTGCGGCTACCGTGAAAGAATTCCAGATACCATCGATCCAAAACTGCTTGGATTGGGGTCTCCCGAATCGAGAGATGTCCCAGCGCTGCCGGCCCGAGCCCCGCCCCCCATCCCAACCTGGGATGCTCTGTGCATCCGCCTCCTCAGACCTCTCCTTCGCCAGGCGGAGTTGTCTTAATCTCCTGGCTCTGACGCCCCTTACACGCAGATCCTATAGCCCAGGCCCCTTGTCCCTGAGGCGGGAACGAAGACCTCCAAAAAGCCCCACGTCCCCTAAGCTACTCACCATCGCAGAAGAAATTATGGCAGTGCTGCGGTGGCCGGAAGCGGAAGTGGGCGACTCGGAAGGGCCCGGACTACACTTCCCAGAACCCTCTGCGGTGCGCGTTCTTACTTTGAGAGAGCTGCTGATGACGTAAAGAAGCTCACACCTGGAGAGCCCTGCTCAAGGCCAGGTGGAAGGCTAAGTGACCCGCGGGTGTACTCTGGTTACGGGAGGAGACACGCTGCTCCGGAGCTCAGCTTTGGAGCACCAGTATACCTTTTTTCTTTCCTTAAAAAAGGTATTACTCAGTACTAACATATTCACGTTGTAGAAAATCTGACAGTACTCTCAAACGAAAAACCCATAATCCCATCACCACGGAATATAAAGCATTGATGTTTTTGATTATATATATGTATTGATTATATTTGATTATATATATGATTGATTACATATATGTGTGTGTAAGTATATATATAATTATAATTACATATAATTATATATAATTTATACCTGATATATATATATATAATTTACACCTGATATATATATAATTTACACAATATATATTTATTTTATTTTATTTTGGTTTTTACAAAAGCAGTGCATGTTCAATTTAAGGGAAAAAAGTAAAAAGAATGTTAAGAAAAGTAAGGGAAAAAATTAAGAAAAAGACTAAAATCCTCCATAATCCTAGCACCCAGAAACAAGTATCATTAATATCTTGGCCTATGTATTTCCAGATTTCCTCTCTGAGTAAATATATATTTAAAAATGTTTGACCCCACAAAGTTTACATCATAATATTTTAGAACTGATTTTTTTCTCTCACTCCATGCATGTCACTAAATAATAAATTCATTTAAAGTGGTTGTTTAGTATTCTTTACTTTTAGATCCATTACCACATTGTCTGCTAAAGAAGTTATACTTCCAATCTCATGTGTCAAGACTAGGAATAATCATTTTTGTTAATTTTTTCCAGTTTGATAGCCCAAATATGTTGTCTCCTTATTGACTGCATTTCTATGCAGAATAAACGTCGATATGTCAGTGGTGGGTAAATTGCCTATTTATATCCTTTGCCCATTTTTATCTTTTGCTTATTGATTTATAGATCCTCTTTGTATACAAATGGTATTGACTCTGTCCTGTATGATGATTCCCCACTTCGCCCCACCCTCCCCCCAGTTCGGACTTTTATAAAGAATTATTTAAAAACCACCCAACCTTTATTTGATCAAATTGATCAGTCCTTTCATTTTGGATTCTGTATTTTTCTATATGATTATAAAGACTTCTTTACTCTGATATCCATTAAGGGCATAACTATATTCACTTCTGTTCTAAAAATATACCTGAGATTTGTTTTAGTTAGGTATGGTAAGACACACAAATACAGAAATGATAGTCATGAAGGAAGAAGTTTATACTCACAGATTCCTAGAGACAAAAGGTATGACATGCCACACAGGGCCTCACAGAGAAGGACTGGGGCTGGTCAGGAGGCAGAAGAAGAGAGAGCATGGTCCAGAGCCTTTACTGGGTTTTCATGGGAAGGTATGAACGAATCAGGGTAAGTATGATAACTTTAGGATTGAATAGTTTATATAATTTTGGTGGGCCCTGGGCTATATGGGTGGTCCCTAGGTGTCCAGTACCTAGTCCTGGGTTTATTCAGGGCAGGGGAATATTGCCTTGGTGTGTGAGTTTGATAAAGGACATGGTTGGGAGTATGGGGTCTGGGTTGGTTTGTTTGTATATCAAAGGCAGTTCACAGGGAAGTAGTTTTCTGTCCAGGAACTAGCTAGCCCTGGGAGGGGGCAGTCCCTCAAAAGCCAGATCATTAAAAAAATAAATAAAAATAAAACAGAAAATAGCAAGATATCATCGATTCAATTTTTAGTGGTTTTATTGATCTATTTTATTCTGTGAGATTTATTTCAGTATATGGTGTGAAGAGAGATCTACTTTGTTCTTCACAAAATGGTTATTGAGTATTCTCAACAAAATTTCCTGAAAAATTCATCATTTATCTACTGATTTAAAACATCATCCTACTCATTTACTACATTATTGTATATACTTATATATATTCTGAGATACAATTGTTCCAATGACAGATTTCAATTAGATTTAAAGATTTCAATTAGAGTTATCACTGTTGTATAACATATTCATTTCTTCCTCCCTATTCTGTTTTTTTTTTTATTTCATCTTAGAAAATCTAGCACTCTTTCCCAGATGAACTATTGAGTTGTTTTGACAAATTCTCAAGTCTTTTCAAGGACTTCTGTTGCTTAGAAAAATAACCCATTTTCAGCACTGCAAGCCTCTAGGCATTTGAGTGTAAACAGTATCAGTTCCCAGCCCAAGTTCTGCCATTTTTACAACTCTGTCTGCTACTATTGATCCCTCTAAAATGCCTATCTCCTTCTTCACTCTTGAAACATTACCCGATTAAAAAAATTTTTTTAGTGTTTTTTTTATTTATTTCTGAAAGAGAGAGATAGCGAGAGCGTGCGAGCATAAGCAGGGTCGGGTCAGAGAGAGAGGGAGACACAGAATCCGCAACAGACTCCAGGCTCTGAGCTGGCTGTCAGCACAGAGCCCGACGCGGGGCTCGAACCCACGAACTGCGAGATCATGACCTGAGCTGAAGTCGGACGCTCAACCGACTGAGCCACCCAGGTGCCCCGAAACACTACCCGATTTTTTAAAGTAGGCCCCATGCTCAAGCCCGATGTGGGACTTGAACTCACAACCTTGAGCCTAAGAACTGAGCAGAGATCAAGAATGGGATTCTTAATCAACTGAGCCACTCAAGTGCCCCAACCTTACACAATTTTCAAGACTTAAGTTGAAGACCACTCCATGGAAACTGTATGAGTGCTATCAAAAATGAACAGAGGAGCCTCTGGTTCAGGAGAGTTCCATGTGAATATAGTTAATGTGATCTCATTTTTGGAACATTCTCACTTCCCTGGGAAATCAATAAATTGGAGTGTTTTTACCTGCAGAAATGAGGAAGAACTCCAAGAAGATGTGGGCAGATGAATCTCTCCCAAGGCTCTAGACTAAGTCTCAGCCCTTACTTCAACTTCATCTGTAGTGATTATATATGAAGTGGTATAATATCACTTGAAGGCACATGGTGATAAGCAAGAATCAATGGAACAAAAAAACAGAAAGCCTATGAAACCAAAAATCAGTTCTCTGAAAGCATCAATAAAATTGATAAACCAAGAATAAAAGAGAAGACATTACCAAAGGCAGAAATGAAAAAGGATATCATTACTACCAATCATTTACAATTTAAGAGGATTATAAAAGGATATTAGGAATAGCTTTATGTCAACAAATTAGACAACTTCGATGAAATGAACAAATTCCTAGAAAAGCATCAATTATCAAAACCGACTCAAGAAGAAAGAGAAAAATCTTATTAGCACATAAATGAGTTGAATTAGTTATTAAAAATCTATCCACAAAGAAAGGCCCAAGCCCAATCAGCTTTACTGGTAAATTCTATCAAATATTTAAGGAAGTAAAAATACAATCATACACAAAACTTCTCAACAAAATCTATGAGGCCAGTATTACTATGATTTCAAAACCAGACAAAAATATCACAAAGAACAAAACTATACACCATTATTCCTCATGAACAAAGACATAAAAATCCTTGACAAAATATTAGCAAACTGAATTTAACTACCCCATGACCAAGTGGGATTTACAGGGAATGAAAAATTGGTTTAACATCCGAAAACCATTGATGTAACACATCATATCAATATAATAAAGGACCAAAAAATAATCATCTCAATAAGATGTAGCAAAAGAACTTAACAAAGTCTACATCTAACAGATCAACTGAGAGATGAGAACTAAATCCTTACGCTTATTGTTGATTTTTCAATGAAGATACTAAGGTTTTCTTAGAGTAGCAATAAATTCACTGAAAAAACTCAGTGTCTCTAGATAGTGTTAAGATAGTCAAGGAGTTCAAAATTGTTTTTCTAATGTAACAGAAACAAAAATGGATTCTTAAAGTTTTTCTGTATCTTAGACACAACTACCATTGTCTTTGACAGTCTGCAGCCAGTCCTCTCTCACTCGTCCACACTACAGAAAATAGTGGACTTGTTGTTTGTATTTGTTCACCTAGATGCCCAATTTTCATTCTCCCTGAATTTTGTGGTTTTAGGTTTCAGTGAATTAGTGAATCCTAATGATCAGCTGGAATTACCCTGAATGAAGGAGGTTCTGATTCCTATATATTCCAGAGATTATGCCTGTCCCTCGGGTAAAAGTGTGTTTTTGTAAATTACTGAACTCTCTGAAAGGCAGATTTAATCTATATCCTGTAGCTTAAGACCCAAAGACCATACAGCTTAGAAAGTTCCCTTGTCATAAACTCTGGTGGTTCAGGGAGGTCATGAGCAAGGTTAACATCTCCTCTCCTCATCATTTTCTAGAGAACTCATTATTTGGCTCCAATGACATGAGACCTTTATCCTGTAAAGCAATAGAAGACCCAGGCTTGAAACAGTATCATAAAAAGAGAATGATAGCTTATTTGAAGTATACATAAATAATGACAAGAGTTACAAGGTTATGGGATGTCAGAGAAATAGCCATCCAGATCCTTGTAAGTGATGGAAAATAATCTGTTACTTTCCCAAGGATCAGTGGAAAACTACTGAGATGTTTTAATCAAGGAATGACTTGTATTTTTTAAAATATCACTTTTATTTCAGTGTAGGAAATAGATCATATAAGATGAAAATCAAAGTGAGGCAGACAAGCTAAGTGTCTATTGTCATAATCTAGGCAAAATGTTATGGTGGCCTGAGCTAATCCAGTAGCGGTGGAAATACAGAGAATTAGAATAATTCAGGACATATATGACGACGGGAAGAGTCAACAAGGGCAGTTGCTGATGAGCTGTACACAGGGAAAGAGAATCTGAGAAGTCAGTAATGACTCCCAGGTATTGGGCATGAGGTTCTGAATGGGTAACTGTGAAGTGGCAATTTAGGGTGTAG